TTGAGCTGGTTTACAGACCTCAGTACCCCTTAAATAAAGAAGAGGCTACATCCCCGACAGAAAGGACACTGGCACACCAGCCAAAGTTTATACAGTTAATCTTTCTCCAGACTTCACCAAAGGGACCTACAACCTTTTAGCAGGGTAACTGTGCACTGGGGAAAAAGAAATAATCAAACCATTTGGGGACTAGTGGATGCTGGCTCTGAACTGACATTAATTCCAGGAGATCAAACATCACTGTGGTCTACCAGTTACAGTAGGGGCTTATGGAAGTCAGGTGATTGAAGGAGTTTTATCTCAAGTTTGTCTCACAGTGGGCCCAGTGGGTCCTCAAACCCATCCTATGGTTATTTCCTTAGTCCTGGAATGAGGAATTAGAATAGATACACTGAGGGATTTCCCTGGTGGTCCAGTGGTAAAGAATCCGCTTCCAATGCAGGGGACACGGGTTCGATCCCCGGTGGGGGAACTAAGATCCCACATGCCGCAGGGCAACTAAGCCCACGTGCCGCAAACACAGAACCCGTGTGTCCTGGAGCCCACGCACCACAACTAGAGAGAAACTCACACGCCTCAACGAAAGATCCCACATGCCGCAACTAAGACCCAACACAGCCCCCCCGAAAAATAAAAAATAGATACACTGAGCACCTGGCAGAATCACCACATTGGTTCCTTGACCTGTGGAGTGAGGACTAGTATGGTGGTAAAGGTCAAGTGGAAGCCAGTAGAACTGCCTCTACCTAGGAAAATAGTAAACCAAAAGCAATACCGTATTCCTGGAGGGATTGCAGAGATCACCGCCACCACATCCCCGCTCAACTTGCCTGTTGGCCTGTGCAGAAGGCAGACAGATTTTGGAGAATGACAGTGGATTACTCTAAGCTTGACCAGTTGGTGACTTCAGTTGCAGCTGCTGTACCAGATGTGGTTTTTATTGGTTGAGCAAATTAATATATCCTCTGGTACCTAGTATGCAACTATTGATCTGACAAATGCTTTTTTCTTGATACCTGTTAGTAAAGACCACCAGAAACAGTTTGTTTTCAGCTGGAAAGGCCAGCAATACACCTTCACAATCCTACATCAGGGCTAAATCAACCCTGCAACCCTATGTCATAATTAGTTTGCAAGAATTTTGATCACCTTTTTCTTTCACATCATATCACACTGGTCCACTGGTCCATTACATTGAAGACATTATGCTGATCGGACGTAGTGTGCAAAAAGTAGCAACTACTCAACTTATTGGTAAGACATTTGTGTGTCAGAAGGTGGGAAATAAATCTGAGAAAAATTCAACGACATTTCTTCTTCCATGTCAGTGAAATTTCTAGGAGGTCCAGAGGTGCAGGGCATGTTGAAATATCCCTTCTAAGGTGAGGGATAAATTGTTGCATCTGGCCCCTCCTACAAACAAAAAAAGAAGTCTAATACCTAGAGGGCCCATTTGGATTTTGGAGGCAACATACTCCTCATTTGGGTGTGTTACTCCATCCCAAGTGGTAGCGGCAGATAGGAATGCTGTTTGGAGCCTTCGGCAGGGCCCTATAGGGAAATCACAGCACAGGTCCTCAGGATTTTGGAACAAAGCCCTATCACCGTCTGCAGATAACTACTCTCCTTTTGAGAAACAGCTCTTGGCCTGCTACTGGACCTTAGTAGAGACTGAATGCTTAACTATGGGTCACCAAGTTACCACGCAAGCTGCTCATTGTGAACTGAGTGTCATCTGGTCCACCAGACCATAAAGTTGGGTGTGCATAGCAGCGTTCCACCATCAAATGGAAGTGGACTATACATGATAGGGCTGAGCAGGCCTTGAGGCACAAGTGAGTTACATGAAGAAGTGGCCCAAATGCCCATGGTCCCCATTTCTGCTATACTGTCTTCTCTCTCCACCATGTGAGGATTCAGTGAGAAGGTGGCTGTCTGCAAATCAGGAAGAGGGCCCTTACTGGACACTGAATCTGCCTGCACTGTGACCCTGGACTTCCCAGCCTCCAGAACTGTGAGAAATAAATGTTTGCTTAAGCTGCCCAGTCCATGGCCTCTGTCATAGCTGCCCAAACTGACTAAGACAGAAATAGTAGTTTGCCAATCCCTAATCTAGCATTCAGATGAGCACTGTCCAATAGAACTTTCTGTAATAATGGAAATGTTCTATATCTACACTGTACAATATAGTTGCCACTAGCCACATATGGCTATTGAGCGCTTGAAGTGTGACGGGTGCAACAAAGGAGCAAAAATTTTTATCCTTCTTTTTCATTCCTGGAGCCTTTTACCATTTCTTTAAGGATTAATACAGTTTCCCAACCAGTTTCCCTGTCTCCAGTTTTACTTTCCTCCAATCCATCCTTGCTAGAGGGACTTTTCTAAAATATACGATGCTGGCACTTCTCCAAAGCAACGTTTCCTGGAAACTTCAGAAAGAAGTTCAGCCTGTTAGCATGACACATAAATCTCTTCATTAGGAAATCACAAAGAGGTAATACACCTTCCTCTGTTTCATCAGATAAGTGATGATAAATTTCTTGAGGGTAGTCCTTTATCATACTTTGCCTCCACTAACATTTTACACAGTGGCTTGCTGAATGATGCAGGAACGAAAACTTGATTTTGCCCATGGAAAGCTTAAGTTAGAAACCCATTTCTGGTACAGTCTAGCAGAGTCACCACAGGCATTTAATCACCTTGAGCCTCATTATATTTCTTTTTTTAAAAATAAATTTATTTATTTTATTTATTTATTTTTGTCTGTGTTGGGTCTTCGTTGCTGTGCACGGGCTTTCTCTAACTGCAGCGAGCGGGGGTTACTCTTCATTGTGGTGCACGGGCTTCTCATTGTGGTGGCTTTTCTTGTTGCGGAACCTGGGCTCTAGGCACGCGGGCTTCAGTAGTTGCAGCATGCGGGCTCAGTAGTTGTGGCTTGCGGGCTCTAGAGCACAGGCTCAGTAGTTGTGGTGCATGGGCTTAGTTGCTCTGAGGCATGTGGGATCTTCCCAGACCAGGGCTTGAACCCACGTCCCCTGCATTGGCAGGCAGATTCTCAACCACTGCACCACCAGGGAAGCCCGAGCCTCATTATATTTCTGTGCTAAATGAAAATGATAACTAGGATTGTTGTGATGATCAAATGAGTTTGTGGAAATCCTCTGCTTTTAGTAAAAGGCTATACAAATGCTAGTTGTTGTTATAATAAATATTGGGTTTTGAAATGTCTCTAAAAAGCAGTACTGGGGATTCTCTGGAGGTCCAGCGGTTAGGACTTGGCACTCTCACTGCCGGCACCGGGTTCCATCCCTGGTCCGGGAACTAAGCTCCTGCAAGCCACTGCCAAAAAAAATAAAAAATAAAAAATAAAATAGAATAAAATAAATAAAAAGAAGTACTGGCCTGATTTTACCTAATATATGTTCTGACTTTTAAAGCCAATCTGCATGAGATGACAATATAGATATAGACCTTAGATGTTCAAAGGAAAGAGGGATGAAAAGGCATAATTTTGCCCCATTTATTCCAAACATTCCTTTGGATTATGCATTTTTCATGTTTAGGTCTAAGACTGCTTTCTTCAGTTTTGTTTTACTAAACAAAAATGTCAGCAATACCAATAGACAGTTGATTTTTTTTTTTTTTTGGCCACGCAGCATGCAGGATCTTAGTTCCCCAACCGGGGATCAAACCCACACGCCTTGCATTGGAAGAGTGGACTCTTAACCACTGGACCACCAAGGAAGTCCCAACAGTTGATTCTTGAGAGTTAAATGGCAATGGCATCATATGAGCAGCTCAGAAAAGAAAGAAAAAGTAGTAATATCTTATTTTTAAGCATCTACAGGGACTTTTCAAAGGGGACTTTCTCAGTGAGTTCTCCTAGGAGTAGGAGGAAGGTCACTGCTTTAGATAAGAAAATAAGGTAAAGAAACAATGTTAACCTACAGGGAGAAGTGGTAAAGGACAATTTACCTTACATAGGCAGTGGTCTCTTACCTTCCCTAGGGACATCCTGATCACAGGATTTATAAGATTAAGTATACTTTTCATTAGACCATATTACACTTTGCGATGAATTTATATCACTAATTCATTTCTCAGTTCTTGAAATGAGACTCCACCATCTTAAAACTTGGAAAAAGAAGGCACTGTTTGTGATCAGTATGCTGTTTTTTGGTGAAGGACAGTAAAGATTTATTATTCCTTGAACTTAAGGTTGCCAAAGCGCTCGATGGATGTGTCAGATCACTTAGAATGTGTGGCTATCTCTGTAAAACCCACTTCACTCTCCAGATTAAGATTTGTTGGAAGACAGGGACTTGATTCACACAAATTTGCATGTTTGTCTCATCCTGCTTCAGATTAGTTGCCATATGCGTAGAATATAGTAAATTACATTAGCAAACTGGTGGCCGTTCCTGCTTGTTCCCTGCGGTATGCAAGTTTGCAATCTCCACTGAACACTCTGTAAATTCATGTCAAACACATGAATGATATTCATAGGGTAATCATGACGATTCCTTAACCGTCCACCTTATGGGGATCTAGAACACTGTCTTTGAGCCCAAGAGAGGAATTGCCGGTTCCATCCCCAAACTGCCATGCGCCCCAGGTAACAAACCCTGCAGCTACCATGGCATTTCCTTTCACTGACACCTCATCATCCAATCCTCGTGGTATTCTCTTCCATCTCACTCTTTGCAGTTCACATAGGCTTTGATATATTTTAGATGTTCTTAAAATTTTTAACAGCCTAATCAGAACTTTTCATATCTTAGTTACAGACACCCTCCCCAAGAGGAAGAAGACCCTAAGCAAAAGAAAGCGAGCACTGGGGAAGGTGAGACACTGGTATCTAAACTGGAAACCTGGTCACTTTTCCACAGCAAGCAAGGCTTGTACTGGGAGGGGGGATTGGAAGACGAGGACCCCACGTGACCTCGGGGGCCCGAGGCTAGCCGACCCCGCCCCCTCCCTCGCCGCCGCCGTGGCCGCCGGGGGGCGCATGCGCAGCCCATGGTAGTGATGGAGGAGAGAAGATGGCGGAAGCGGAGTGAGTTACTTGCTGGTGACTAATGTCGTAACCGGGGGGCGAGTGGGGGGCAGCGACACGTCCCCTTGAGCTCAGGGCTCTTTCGCGGGCAGTGCGGGGAAAGGGGGACGTGAGAGCTTTCTTATCGTGGAGGACCCCGCTTGGCCCTTGTGGGGAGACGGAGGAGAACTGTAAGGGTCCAGTTACCTCCAGGCGGGAGCGCCCCTTCCGCCGTGTGTCCCCGGATTTGCGGGGCCCTGTGCGCAGGGTTGTCCCTCGGACCCCGACCGTAGGAATCTTCCGGAAGATGAGCCCGACTGGACCCCTCAGGCGCTGTCATCCCTGCAAGTGGGCCCCGCGGGCAGCCTTGTGACGGCTGCCGAGCCGGGGGCCCGCGGAGGCTGGGTAGGGCTGGGCGGGCACTGCCAGGCCTCCTTCGCGCTCGCCTCCTAACCCCCCCCCCCACCCCGCCCAGCGCCACCCCACTGCTTCTCAGTGGGAGAACGCGAGACGTGGGGCTGCTCACCGCCCTCCCCCGGGAGGCTTGGAGGAGGTGTCGCAGCGCCGGCCTTGCAGCGGCGGGGTCTGTTGCGAGTCTGACGAGGCTGAAAACACCCTGCAAGGAAAGATCTTCCTTTCCTTCGGGTCTCTGACTGCAGTGTTGATGCCGCCCTAGAGGGCCACATTCCTGTGTGGCGGTGTGATGGTATGCTTAGTTAGCGACTCAAACTTAGTGTTTCCTGGGTAGGCCGCTGGTGCAGCAGAACTGCCGTTTGTATTTTGCAGGCAAAACTGTGCGTAGACGGCGGAGTTACCAAAATTGTTCTTTTGTGCCAGGTCTCCAAATGCAGTGCACTGGTTTGGCCAGTTCTACCCACCGATGTTTAGACCTGTGTCTCGCATTTGGATTCTCTGTGACCATATTTAGTTAGTTACTGAACTGCTTACCGTAGGGTTTGAGGTTGGGCACATGGCTGAGCAGAATAGCACTGTAAAAGGACCAGAATTTAAGCTGGCTTTTTGCATATCTTGGTACGTGGTTCAGAAGTGCTATGACAGGTAGTAATTTGGTAAAAAGTTTATCTACCGCTATGTGTGTATGCTGTTGAATAGTTACCATATGATGCTGTGATTTGATGATTGGAAGGCAGTTTGCAAAACTACAAACCGCCCTTCCCCCCCAAAATAAACCCAGCGAAGCATAAAGATGTGTTATTTACTAATCAAAATAATTAGTAAGAGTCAGCTTCCCCCCCCCCCCCACTTTTTCCTTTCACTTTTCCTCTTATTAAATCGGGATTTTTTTTAACCATTTGATTCCTGAAAGAACACATAAATACTATTTACATACATGATATATGAAAGAACAAAGAAAATTTGTACATAAAAGGACACCGTATGGGAATAGTGCGTGCATACACAGTTAGTGCCAAATTCCTTTGTCTTTTCATGAAGTAGAAAGTGTTCTTGTTACATTCTTGTCAATGCTGCTTCTATGAGGTGGGTCAGGTTTTGTCTCTCAGAAGAAAAGACTGATAAGAAAAGCAGATAAAGCCAGTATATTCTCAAGTGTGCTTTTCACCATTGTGGTGCATTTCTGACCCTTCAAAAAAATACTGTAGTTCTCGTTTACTAACAATATTAAGCCCCTCAGAATTGACTTAATATGTTGTTTGAACTTGTTAAAATACAGATTCTGTATTTAGTGGAATTTTGTACCACAGCAGTGAAATGAGTTTGTAATATTGTAGGGAAAAGAATCAGTGTGGTACAAAACTGCACTTTACTGTCTGTACATGAGGAAAGTGACATAATTATGCTGTTTTCAAAATTTGGAGCTATTACTTGTGAAAAAGAGATTTTTGTAAGGAAGTGGAGAAATTGTTTTCAGCTGCTTCTCTTATTTACCCAGTCAGAGTAATGTGCTTACGAGTGTTACTCAGTTATTACATGTAGTGAGGACAATGTTGTAGAATTAGAGGGAAAGCAGTGTGAGTTAATAAATTATTTTTTAAATTATTTTCTAAGAGAACTTATTTTTAAATAAAGTATATATGGTAACCAAAAACTAAGCTAATTGACTAAACTAAGGTAAACTACTAAACTAAGCTAACACAAGTCCATAGGCATCCTATTTTAATGTCTAGATAAGAATGACTTTAATTTGTAATTAGTATGGTCACAAGAATATAAAGAAATATTTTAATACTCTGACATTGCTTCAGTTTTAATTTTCCTAGGTAGTTAAGTATTCCGTCATCACCTGTTTAGGTTTCAAAACACTCATCTTCCTTCAACAATAAAAAGGTAAACTTTAGGCCAGGCTTTATCTGAATTACATATCCTGAGTCATTTGAATTCAAATTTAGTAGGTATGAACCATTAAATATGCTATATATTTGTGAAGTATTTTTCCCTGGCACGTATTTATGGTGACTGTGTGCTCTCTGTATTTAATGAGGGCCTTCTTAGAAATTTAGACTGTTGCTGATTATTTCTTGGAATAATTATTCTTTAAACACCATAAGATAATGCTTTTGCCAATATAAATCCTTTGTGTTATCTGCTAGGTTTAAGGACCACAGTACAGCTATGGATAGTGAACCAAACCCTGGAACATCTTCGGTATCGACAACAACCAGTAGCACTACCACGACCACCATCACCACTTCCTCCTCTCGAATGCAGCAACCACAGATCTCTGTCTATAGTGGCTCAGACCGACATGCTGTACAGGTATTTCAGTTACCATGATGCGTAGGCTAAGACTGAGGATGTCATTACTTTTTGCTTAAGCCAGATGAATCTATTGTTTCATGTCCTCAGATGAGTTACATGATACCCTCTAAATGAGTACAGTTAGAATTGTTCATGTTTGGAACAAGCAACAGAGTTATGGAATAATCATTCTATTGAGAGGGCCTACATTTGTCAGCGTGTAGCTTATAAAACAATATGTTGGGAAAATTATTATTGGAAGGTCTCTAGGTACTGCTACAACGTTGACAAACTCAACCAAGAGCCCCAACATGAAGAATGGCTCTAGGTTTTTCTGATTATTTTACATTTGAACCCAAAATATGGACTTAGGATCTATTCAGATCTGTTCAGCTCTGTAGATACGTTAAGAGGTTCATTTTAAACCCAAGTGGCCTAAGAACCCTAAACAGGAGGATCCATTCAAGAGCTCTAAGGGGCAGAGGAGGAAGGGGATATTTAATTAGGAAAAGTCTTAGGCTCTTCACTTAGTTGGGAAAATAAAGTTTACGTCGTTAACCTTTATAATAATGGAGGTTGAGGCAATATGGTATAGCATGAAAAGGGCATGGGCATTGCAATCTGATGTGCTCTTTGAATTCCATTTTCTTCATCATTAGATATGTAGCCTTGGGTGAGAGGCATAATCTCCTTGAGCCTCAGGAAACTGAAAAATGAGGATGAGACCACCTGCTTAGTTAGTTATGAGGATTAAAGGAAGCATCTAGAATTGTGTGGGGCACATTATATATACTCAGTAAACAGTAATAGTTAATATATATTGAATACTTGCTATGTGCCAAGCATTTGATAAGTTCTTAATATGGATTTTCTCCATTTAACAAATGGGAAAACTGATGTTGTAAATTGGCTAAATAACTTTCCTAAACCCACATAACTAGTTGGTACTGTAGCTTTAGAGTTGTGCCCTTGGGACTTCGCTGGTGTCCAGTGGGTAAGACTCCGAGCTCCCAATGCAGGGGGCCCAGATTCGACCCCTGGTCGGGGAACTAGATCCCACATGCGTGCCGCGACTAAGAGGTCCGCATGCTGCAGTGAAGATCCTGCATGCCATGGCTAACTTACTTGTTTGTGATGTAGTCATCTCCCTGATACATTTTTCTAGAGTGGAGATCCCAGTATACTGGCTATTTAGCTGTTCTGTGGCTTAGGATTCTGAAGCTACTGTGGAGTAGAATCAGAATTGTTGGAGACCTAGTCAGTTCAGTAAGAATTCAAACTGAAATGGAGAGTGTGTTTTTAATGTTTTTCACTTTTCTCTGAGGCAAGGGATATAGAGAAGAGTATCTAGAGCTTGAGCATACAGATGATGTGACATTTTAAATGCCATTTTGTTCTCTAGCTTTACCTAAGCTGGATGTGTTAATAAAAAAAAGTTATTGAAGGTGTGTAGATACAGATATATCTCACAAATAGCACTAACTCTAATTCTTATGAGATCATAGAATTGCTTCCCTTTAAATGTAATCAAATCAATATTTACTGAACTACCTAAGTAGTTCTTTAATACCTTTCAGCTTTCTTTTTCAGTCCTGAGAATCCTCTTCCCCTTCTTTGCTCCTTCATAGGAACAAAATAAGAACAATATGCTGTATCTTTAATATCTTTAACTTGCATTTAAAGAGTCTCTCTCCCATGAGTATAGTGTTGAATCGTAATGAAAGACTGTGCTGACAATAGAAAAAAATTACTATACTCTGACAGAAATATGTGCCAATAGGTTATTCATTTTTTATTTCAGTTTGATTTTAGAATTTTGTTATGGAATTAGAAGAACATATATAGATTTACCTGACGAAAAAGACATATTGTTGTGATTCTAAATCACAATGCAGATCTATAGTCCCCTGCAACTAGGTGTCAAAAGCCTACATTGGTTTTGTGACAGGAGTCTGCAGTAGGTATAGCAGTCTTTTTTTTTTTTTTTTTTGCGGTACGCGGGCCTCTCACTGTTGTGGCCTCTCCCGTTGCGGAGCACAGGCTCCGGATGCGCAGGCTCAGCAGCCATGGCTCACGGGCCCAGCCGCTCCGCGGCATGTGTCCGGGACACGAACCCACGTCCCCTGCGTTGGCAGGCAGACTCTTAACCACTGCGCCACCAGGGAAGCCCGGTATAGCAGTCTTTTGTTGGGGAATTGAGATATGAAAACACGAAGGTAAAAAAACACAAGGAAATACACTTTCTTGGAATTTGGATAAAGAGATTCATAGGTTTGTGGTAAAGGTGTCCTGACTCAGAAGCTCAAGCTGTAGGATTATGGCTCTATTACTCCCTTAGCTCTTTGAAAACTCTGGTTTGATGCTGAGATTTAGGGTGCTGTTTCAGAGTCATCATGGGCATGATGTGACTTTAGGATGTGTTTGCAGAGTACTGGTAAGTCTGACTTACCATTTGGACAGATAAAGGATTTTCCTCTCATTAGAATACTTGCTTTTCTATACTTATCGATTTATGAAGTTCAGGTTCATAGTTTTCAATAGTCACAGTCATTAACACTTTACCAGGAATTTTTTTTTTAGTAAGAACAGTTTTATTCTGTTTTGAAACAGTTGAATCTGACATTTAAAAAACATTTAAAAACATTTAAAAAAGTGATTAGTAATTTCCTAAAAAAATAGCTTTATAATTTTAAGTGGTTATTAATATAATGAAGCTAAGTATTTTCAGACATTTAAAGAAAAATACAAATGAGAAGGTAAAAATCACTTCTAATCTAGCTACCCGTCAGTAGTCTTTTAATGTTTTCCTGAATATTCTTTAAAATATTTTAATATAAATCGTATCTTACTCTATACACTATTTAGTAACCTGCTTTTTCACCTAATGATATATTTGGGAATTTTTTGTTAATAGATATATCTGCTCTGTTCAATATAGTAGCTACTAGCTGCATGTGGCTATTTTATATTTAAATTATAATTAAAATTCAGTAAAATTAAAAACTTAGTTCCTTAGTTGCACTAGCCACCTTGTAAGTGCTCAGTAGATTCGTGGCTGCTGTATTGGATGGCACTGATCTACATTGATATTCGTAATGCTTGCAGGGTATACATATCCTCGCTACACAAGCTGCAAATCCTACCAAGTTTTATCCAAAATGGTTATACCAATTTACATTCTTACTAACAGTGTATGAGAGTATCTGTTTCTCCAGTAGTAGTAATATTCTTTTAAATCTTTATCCATTGGAAAGTTGGAAAATAGTGTCTTAATTTGTAACTTTTGACTACTAGTGAGATTGAAGATCTTTTCACATGCTTACTTAGCACTTTTTCCTTTTGTGAATTGCCTCTACTGGGTAACTTTAATTTGTACAGATTAGTGAATCCTAGTGATATGTAACTAGGAGAGAACTATGTTAATAAGTTTGATGACATTGAACATTAAAGTAGTGAAATTTTATTTTAGTTTATTTTTTAACATTTTTTTAAAAAGTACATGCACAGACTCTAGACAATGCTATACTTTTTTTTTTTCTTTTTTTTTTTTACTTATTTTTATATTTGGCTGTGTTGGGTCTTCGTTTCTGTGCGAGGGCTTTCCCTAGTTGCGGCGAGCGGGGGCCACTCTTCATCGCGGTGCAAGGGCCTTTCACTGTCGTGGCCTCTCTTGTTGCGGGACACAGGCTCCAGATGCGCAGACTCAGTAGTTGCGGCTCACGGGCCTAGTTGCTCCATGGCATGTGGGATCTTCCCAGACCAGGGCTCGAATCCGTGTCCCCTGCATTGGCAGGCAGATTCTCAACCACTGCGCCACCAGGAAAGCCCTTTTTAACATCTTTATTGGAGTATAATTGCTTCACAATGTTGTGTTAGTTTCTGCTGTGTAACAAAGTGAATTGGCTATATGTATACATATATCCCCATATCCCCTCCCTCTTGCGTCTCCCTCCCACCCTCCCTATCCCACCCTTCTAGGTGGTCACAAAGCATCGAGCTGATCTCCCTGTGCTATGCGGCTGCTTCCCACTAGCTATCTGTTTTACATTTGGTAGTGTATATATGTCCTTGCCACTCTCTCACTTCGTCCCAGCTTACCCTTCCCCCTCCCCGCATCCTCAAGTCCATTCTCTTAAAGTAGTGAAATTTTAAACTGCTGCTTTTTTAATACTTTATTTTATGGTTAAGATTATGGTTTGACATTGGTTCAATTGACTTATCACAGGTAATTCAGCAGGCATTGCACCGCCCTCCCAGCTCAGCTGCTCAGTATCTACAGCAAATGTATGCCGCTCAGCAACAGCACTTAATGCTGCACACAGCAGCTCTCCAGCAGCAGCACTTAAGCAGCTCCCAGCTTCAGAGCCTTGCTGCTGTTCAGGTGAGACGGAACTGAATTAAGAACTTATGAGGCCAAAGTTGACATGACCTGCAGATAATTCCTGAAAATAAATATGTTGGTATTATTTTAGAGTTTTCAGGTGTCCTGTGATTATTTTTTCTTAAGGAAATATAATAGGCTGCCAGATTGAGGTTAGTTTAAAAACAAATGAATGTGTTTTATGTGTTACTCTATTGCTAACTTTTGTCCCTCTGCTTTTTAATCTACATTGCAGAAATGCTATACTAATGTCATGGTTTTGTGTGTAAAATTTTAGGTACAACAGTGAATAGTTAGGGTTACATGAATCTTATCTACATTTTAACAAAAAAGGTTTTTTAAATTACATAAGTAATTTACACTCATTAAAAAAAAACAAACAGTATAAAATTGACCATAAGAGGTAAAGTATAGAGGTATTCCTTTTCCATATCCCCTGCTATTTTCCACTCTTCAGAGGTGGCCACTAAAAGTTTAATATGTATCCCTCCAGGAATGTTCTGTATAAAAATATGTATGTACACTTTTCTAAAATCCACTCATATGATTCCTACTGCTAACAGGATGATTTTATGATTAAATGCTTATGTTTTTAAAAAGATCTTCATTATTATTGCACTGTTTATTTAAATTAAACTGTATGTGAGATTTAATCTTAAATGTCCTCACCAGAGGAGAATCTCAGTTGACTGAACCTGAAAAAAGGTTTGTTTCTGTTATAAACACATCCCCAGCTGTTACTTCTTCTCGGTAGTGTAATTTTAAATAACGTCGTGTACATGATATGAGTAAGGAAACCGAAACCCACTGGTACTTGATATAGCTCCAATTTCTTTTTCATAACATTAGAGTAGTGATTTCACTTCAAAGAAGACTGAGACCTGTAGAGTAAAACTGACAATGACTGCGGCTATTAAAATAAGATTAGCCTTTGGGTCTTCTGTTTTCACTGTTCAGTGTTTTCTTTTTTTCTTAATCTGTTTGGCTAAAGCTTAATCCATGTTGACTGTAAAATAACTGTAAAATAGATGTTTTGACTTTTATTGTGGTTTTATGGTATCCTGGTACCAGAAAGTTTTTAACTTCAGGCTTTTATAGACATATTATAAAGATTTTATTATTTTAGGCAAGTTTGTCCAGTGGAAGACCACCTACATCCCCCACAGGAAGTGTCACACAGCAGTCAAGTATGTCCCAGACATCTGTAAGTGCCCGAAATTTTTTCCTGGTTTTAAAATTTTAAATTATTGCTTTCCAGAAGTGAACTGTTAATATTTACAAAACTGTTATTGTTTATCTGTTTAATATTATTGAAATAACGTGTCTAGAAACAAGAATGATACATTTCAAGAATTTGGAAATAATGTCAAACTTCTGAAAATCTGAGTCTTAAAAAAGTTTTTGTATTATTTCTTACGTATGTTTTCCCACTGACTGTGTTCACATCTTCTGTGATTCTGAATGATTGCAGTTTTCAGTGTGCATTGAAAGCATGAAACATATAATTCAGGGAATTAAGTCATACTTTTACTGTGATATACTAAAGAATGTCATGTCCTTGGTAGACATCTAAATGTTTCTAGCTCTTTCTGTGCAATTCACGTTTTAGAAATTTTACTTTTCAGTTTATGCTAACTTGAGTTATGTGGGTCAAATTTACAAGTATCCATTCAAGATAGTGTTATTTATTTTGAGAAAGGAGTAAAAGAAAGGTGATTTGTTATATTGCACATATATACTGGGAAATTGTGCAGAGTATCCCAGTTAAAAGAAATTTACAGGTGTGGTAATACTTGTTTAACTTTTTATTTTGATATAATTTCAAGTTGCAAGAATAATAAAATAAATTTCTGTATACCCTTTACTCAGATTCACCAGTTGTTAGCATTTTGGCTCATAGCTTTATCATGCATTCTTTCTATCTACATATATACAGTTACCTTTTTCTGAACCATTTGTGGGTAAGTTGAGACATGTTCCTTTACTCCTAAATAACTTTGATATGTACTTCCTAGTGACAAAGTCATTCTTTTATGAGCCACATGAAGTGGATTCAATTCAGGAAGTTTAGCATTGATACAGTGCCGTTCATATACAGATTTCATCAGTTGTCCCGTATTTCTCAGCCTCATCACTATAGACATTATGGACCAGATAATTCTTGTAGGGGGCTATCCTGTGCGTTATAGGACATTAAGCAGCATGCCTAGCTTAGATACCAGTAGGCTATGCCCTCCTCTTTTCCCTAGTGTGACAGCCAAAAATGTCTGCAGGCACTGCCAGATGTTTCCTGAGGGGCCAAATTGCCCCTTGTTGAGAACCATTGAGTTAACCTAATAACATCCTCTTTAGCTGTTTTTTCCTGATCCAGGATGGTAATACTTTGAAGCTTTGTAAAATTGAATCCAATGGAGTATGGTTTATAGATTGCTGAGGAAGATGAACTTGTGCTGTATTTCTTTAGTTAAGGTTGTGATCTTTACCAAGTACGTGTATGATGAGCATACAGTTATTTTTGGGCTATTGAGCTGATATTTTTAATTAAAAAATTACATTTTAGCATGGAAGTATCCTGGAATGTGAATAAAATTAGTTAAGAAAGAAATTACTTAACGACTTGAAAATGTTAGACTGAAGAAAATGAAAATTTTAAGTAATGTAATTTAGCCCTAAGCATTAATGCTATAGTTACGGATATTGATGTCAGATAATATCGTTAAGTAATACATTGGTAGTTATGGAAAGGACTGGTAAACTGGCTAAAAAAATTATAGCTAAATTCTTTATTCTGTGAAGTACTGGAATGGCATTAGGGTATATATGTATAGAGATATGTGGTCTGAATTTTTTTCCCTTCACATTATTAAAAGGTATCCTTTTAAACCATTTTTGTTTCATTATGATTTTATGTATGTGACTTTTACAATCACAGTTTCAGTGATTGTGCTTATTTTTTATGAAATTGCTAGTGCTACTTGTCATAAACCAGGTAGCCTTGTATGATGAAGAATGCCAGAACCTGTGCCTGGCTGGTGGGGGAAAAGAAGTAGGGAGAATAGATGTCTAGAAAAAACACGGGAATAATACATAGCATTTGTTCTGTTTTCTGTCCCAGCTGAGCAGTAGATCAAGTGAGTGGACTTGCAGTCCAAATTATGATACTCAAGGTAGCTTAGTAAATTTAGCTCAGTCTCCAAAAGAGGGGCAGAGCATGGTAGCAGAAATCTCTAGGTAGTGATAATAATGAGCCGTCAGGTGGCAGTCTGCTGGTTTTCAGAGTTTTGGTTATTTTGAAATAGGTTTCCGATAACAGTGAATGACATGAGGGAAGGGTCCAGCCTCCAGTAGATACGAGGGCTACAAGGTAGGTTGTCAAGTCACCAGCCAGGTAGGTTGGGGTTCAGAGTAGGAGTGGAATGCCAATGGGGAAATGGAATATTGTATTTTAAAAAACGAAGTAAGAAGTCCAATCATACACCTGGGGAAACTGTGTATGTGGAGGAGACCATTGTTAATTGAATGTATAGGTATTTAGTGGTGCCAGCATCCTCTTCTTTACTGTCATGAGAACAGAAAGGCTAATTCTAGACTCTTACCAGTAGTGAGAGTGGTGGTTTTTTTTGTTTTTGGTGTGTGTGTGTGTGTGTGTGTGTGTGTATGATTGATTGTCTCTAAAACTAGTTGGGACCAAGTCTTTAGGTTGATGTCTGTACTTCAATTTAGTGGGACTAAGATTTAGTCTTTAAATTTGATTTGCTAAAATGAAATCTAAGCCAGTTAAAAACTCTTATGCAAAAAAAAAATCAACAAAGTTAAAAACCAGCAAAATGGTTGAAAATGTATTTGCACCATATATGTCACCCAGCTTATATTTGTAAAATACCAAGGGCTCTGTTATATTAGTAAGATAAACAATGAGAATACACAAAAGACCTGCATTGGTAATTTTCAAAAGAAAGACTACTTTTGGGTTTTAAACACATGAAAATATATTAACCATATTAGTAATAAAGAAATGTATGTAAAAATAGCAATAATGTTCTATTTTCACTTGTCAAATTAGAAAACAGGGAAAAACATTGAGACAGTAACAGTTGTTGGCAAGTATGGTACACTCATACACTATTGGTAGGAATGTATAATAATTGGTACAACTTTTCTGGAGGGTTATTTGGCAGTGTGTATGAAAATTTAAACTATGCGTGCCTTTTCACATAGCAGTCTGATTTTTAGTGATGTCATTGACTAAATATGAGAGATAATTATGACATACATAATTATGCAAATATGCATGGTTTGTAATGGTGGAAAATTATAAACAATACAAATGTTCAGTAATTGAGGATTAGTTAAAAGATAGTTAATTCATACAGTGGAATACTATAGCTGCTTAAAAATGTTATGTGTGTGTATATAAAGAGACTTAGGTTTTCATTAGTTATTAGGTGAAAAAAGCAAGAATATATCATCTCATTTAACTTATTTAATAGGTTATTCTATTTTTCAGTTCTGAAATTGCCATTTGCTTTTTCTTTGTATCTTCTGTTTCTTTTGCTGAGAGTTTATGTTTTCATTTGTTTCAAGTGGGCTCATAATTGCTTGTTCAAAGCATTTTTATGACTACTGCTTTAAAATCTTTGTCAGATAATTAAAATCTTTCATCTTGGTGTTGGCATCTGTTTATTGATTGTCTTTTTCATTCAGCTTGAGGTCTTTCTGGTTCTTGGTACAATGAGTGATTTTTGATTGAAACCTGGACATATTGAGTATTATGTTATGAGATTGTGAATCTTATTTAAATTTTCTGTTTTGGCTGGCTTCTGAAAGAGCGTTTGCCACATCCTTACTGCCATTTGGGGGTAGAAGTCCAGGTTCCCCATTTGGTTTCCATTGATACCTGAGGGATGCTCCTTGTAATTGCTAAGTGAGCATGAATTCTGGCTCACTAGGCCTCTACTGAGGTATCTCTGGCTAGGAGGGATAGGAATGCTGCGTTACTGCTCCCCACGTGGTCTCCACTGATACTACAGGGATGGGCTGGTTTGTTGTTCGTGATCTTTTACTGCTTGGCTGGTATGAAAGTCTTGGCTCTCTACCTGGCCTTCTCTGGCACTAACCTGTTGGAAGGATTTGTGGAATCCGGGTGCCTCATTACAGCCTGACGAGGGTAGAAGCCTAGGTCTTTGCTAATGTGGATGTGGATGGGGCCATAGTGTTTTCTGTGGCGTTTGGCTGGAGTAGAGCAATTATTGCCTAAAAGTTTTCTGTGTTGCTAGGCTGTCCCTTTTCTGATCCTTGGCTAGAAAGAGCAGCCCATTGGAGCTTTTTTTTTTTTTTTTTTTTTTGGTCTGTACCCACTGCTGTTTCTGGGTTACTGACTTGTTCACCTTTATGTTTGGGTTATATGAGATTTAAAAAGGAAACCCAGGGAGCTTGCAAGCACATCATTCACTGGATCCTGGAGTCTGCTTTTCTCCACCTTTTAGGATCCTCTTACATTTATTTTATATGTAACATTCGGGATTTTTAGTTATACTTAGGGGGAGGAGTAGGGAGAAGCATGTCTATTCCACTTTCCTGGAAACAGAATTCCTATCATTTAACTTATTTTTTAAAATTTATATCTATATGTCTGTCTGGTTATGTAGGAAGAAAATCTGTAATACACAACAAATTTAATCAGTGGTTATCTTTGAGGAAGTAGGTTGAAGAACTTCATTTTGTCTAAATAAAACATGAATATACTCTTGTTGTCTAAGATACTGACAGTACAGACAATACAGAGTAAAAGTGACATCCCATTTCAGTAGTCCCTTTTGCCCTGACAAAGTTTTATGTGAAGCTTTCCTATCTTATTCCTGTACATTTCTATACATAAATGTAAATAGATAGGCTATGGTTAATTTTATTTGTTTGTTTTATTGTAAGCGATCATTCTGTATCTTTCTTTTCTAAGTCTTTGGGCATTTTCAGCTGGAAAGGATTATGTGGCTAGAAATTGCAGTCATAGGTCTATAAATGACTCAAAGGCTGTTTGTATCTCATTCCCTTTCCCTTTCTTTGCTGTTTTTTGGCCCTAGAATCTACATTAATCCCAGATGTTTTGACTTTAATTCACTGTACTATTCTGTCAAGAAGGAAAAACCTTATTTTTGATAGCTTTCTGGCTCTGGTGTCAGACAAAATGAGCTTTCTTTCTTTTTT